GCGCTTTCAAAAACCTTTCGAACTGTAAAACAATAACACAATTCTATTCTACGCATATCTATAATACGGGTATCGAATTTCAAGCACGTCGCACCATAAATAAGATTTTTTCCAATAGTTCGGTATCTGGCCCATCTATCCGAAAAAATTTCCTATATGTTAATCCTGGCTACCTACTACCTAGCTACCTACGTGCCGAATTTCAAGCAAATGGGACCATAAATATGACTTTTTCGAATAGATCGGTTCCTGGTCCACTTAACGGAAAAAATGTATCCTATATGCTAATCTAGGCAAAAGGTTACCTACGTACCAAATGCATTTTTTTTTTGCGTAGCTTAAACCCTGGAAAATTAAACTTTGTGCACTCCTCCTTGTAAACACCTTTCCAAAAACGCAGCAACCATTCGAATCGGTTATGAAACATAGGACAAAACTTTTCGCGAACGAAGGAAGAGAATACGCTTGATACGTGCTCGAGGAAGTGTGATATTCATTGTAAATTTAATATTTTTAACTAAAAGTATTTAACAAATATAAGTTTTTTGGAAAAATGTAGAGTTTGCCAATTCTATTGAACTTGTACTACGGCAACTATTTCGGATTGGGATTACACCCGCACCACATTCACCGGCATCGCCGTCACAATGAACCGGCTGGTTCAAATGTTCTTGGCTATACACTGCCGCTGTCGGCCGCTGTGGTGTAGTGGTAAGCAGTGCGCGCTTCCACTCCACAATGCCTGGGTTCAAACCCTGGTCAAAGCAACATCGCAAAAATATAGAAAAAAAGGTTTTTTCTTAACAGCGGTCGTCCCTCGGCAGGCAATGGCAAACCTCCGAGTGTTTTTCTGCCATGAAAAACAGCTTCTCATAAAAATACAATCGCCGTTCGGAGTCGGCGTAAAACTGTAGGTCCCTCCGCTTTGTGTGACAACATCAAGGCGCACGCCACAAATCGGAGGAGAAGCTTGGCCAAACACTAACATATGTGTAAGCGCCAATCTATTATTATTATTATACACTGCCGCTGAGCTTAGTAAATCGTTTAGGTGAACGCCCATTGAGTCGCCGGGGCCGCCAGGGTGAAGGTAAATTGTCGGTAGTAGGAAAAGATGGTTTACAAGTGTGTATGGATGTGGCACAATTCAAGCCAAGGGAGCTGTTTCTGAAAGTCTTTGATAACAGCATTGTTGTCGAGGGCAAGCACGAGGAACGAGAGGATGAGCACGGGTTCATTTCACGACACTTTGTCCGTCGATATGCACTACCAAAGGGCTATAACGCCGACAATATAGTTTCCACGCTATCATCAGACGGAGTTCTAACAGTCAGTGCTCCTAAGCCACAGGAGGAAGCATCGAATGAACGTGTTGTACAAATTCAACAGACTGGTCCAGCTCATTTGAATGTTAAACAAAATGCAGAGGAGAAGATCGGAGATGCCAACGGAGAGGCTGAACAGAAATAAATCGTGGCCAAAAGTTTGAAATACAACACATATATAGTATACATACAATACATACATTCATACATATTTTAAGTCATTCCGTATGTGCATTTTATATTTTTAAGGCGTAATTTTCAAAATTGCTATTTATGAATTTGTTCTACTTAGTATACGCATTGTAATTGAATTTCTTAAATTTTACTTTATCTAATGATATATGAATTAAAAAAAAAATAAAAGTTACAAAAACGAAAAAAATGTATCCCAATTGATTATGATCACAATGAATTTCACAATTATCCTAAATTTTCCAAGCTTCACATCATAAAAATCATGCGATAAAATGCAAAACTTCGTCGAAAAAAATCCTAATTTTTCGCGTTATTCCGGATTTTTCCGAGTTTTTCACTTAGAATTTTATATTTTTCCATTCGAAAGCCATTCAGAAGGAATTGCACAAAGAATTCCATACAAAAAAATCCATTTTAAAATTTTCCGATTTCCCGACTTTCCCCGAGGGTTTTCCCAACATTTTTTTTTTCGTAAAAACTAGGGATGTGCCGGGTATCCGGTAGATATCCGGAATCCGGCCTATCCGGCCGTTTTTTGGTTATCCGGTTATCCGGCCGGATACTGGCTAATATCCGGCCGGATTCCGGATATCGATTATAGAAGATTCAATTTAGAAATTTAACCCAGATTTTGTATTTTTGTAATCCTATTTAATAGTATCTAATTAGTAATCAAAGTTAACAATTTGTATATTTTTCATTATGAAAAAAAGCATTTCCGCATTATCGGGCAACAACCTATTTCTATTTTCAACATAAATGTTACCCGATGCACTAAATACTCTTTCCGAGTTCACTGAGGAAGGTGGCGCGAAGAGATACTTCATTGTCAGTGTAAACAAATTTGGAAATTCTTTGCAGCTATACTTCCACCAAGTTAAGGGATCTTCTTGTCTGGATATAAGAGGTAGCTGCAAATATTTCTCTATTTCTAGTTCATAACGTACGTTCGCTGCCTTGTCTACCAATCGTTTGGCTATCCATATCACTAGAAACACTAGAATCAGCATCAGAGCCGTTGGCGATTTCTTCAAAGCTGTATGTGCATGAGAAATTTTTGACAGTAAACTGCCGGCGTGCGTGGATATTAGGTTGGCCTGTAAGTTGAGTGTGACGTGTCCTTTCGTTTACACTTGCGAAAATAGTCGTGTTTTCTTTGGTTATTGAGCTCAGTATCAGTAATTTTTTACTATTAGCACCAGGATTAAGAAGTTTTAGAAATTACCTCACTAAATGGGAAAAACTTATATTTAGACGAGATAATATTCATTTAAATAAATATTTAACATAAAGGCGATTTATTTGAAGCAAGTTAAATGAAACAATGGCAGAATGTCTGTTTGTCTATGAATTCATTTGTCACTGAAACCAAACTGTGCAGCTAAATTATCAGTGAAACAAAAGAAACAGAACGGATAATAAATTGAACCAGATCTGCATCAGGATCATATCGTTGTTGTTGAATTTGCGTGCTTCAGTTTATCAGGTTTATTCAGTGAAATCGCTGAATAAATTTATCAGAAATGAGTAAACGAGTTTCCATACAAATTTTGACAGTTCATTTATAAAGTTTACACAATTATAAGTTTATACGGTTTACATTGCATTTATAAGCTTTGATGAATACCCTTAGTAG